AAGTCATTGTGAATGCAATCGATAGTTCTCTAGGATTTAATGCAATCACTGTGAATGCAATTTGTAGACCTTTTAGTCTTGTGATACACTATTGAATGTAATTTGTTTTTGTCTCCCAACCTTCTACATCAAGACATAAAAACATGAAAACTATAGACGATTTAGACTTGTGATACACTACTAAATGGACAGTTGAAGTTCTGGTAGGAAACTCTACAACTATGAGGAAACCATAACAAATTTCAATCATGAACAAATTTGGATCAAATTTGAAATTTAATAAGACGTTTTAGACTTGAAGTTCTGATAGAAAACAGTCGAAGTCTTTTTTCAGTACTTTTATGATCTAAGAGCATCCAGTGAGTTGAATACCTTCTAGGAAGATTATCCAACAGCAGACATCTATATGCTGCTAACCTGCTACTAGTTCCTTTCGGAATTGCCTCTATTGTCTTCTCTTGATACAACGCATACTGTCCTCTACATATTTGGGTGGAATTTGAATTACAGATGATCTACCCATTTCTCCTTGGACCTCAACTATCCATATGCACTCTATATAAAGAGATGTTGTTGAGTCTCTATGATATCCATAGCACACATTCTTGATGGGGAATTTCTCCATTTGAACTATCTTTTGTCCTCGAATTTTTGTGTTTTGATATAGATTTGAATTCTTGCTTAATGCATATCAAAGCTTTCCTAATTAATTTTCTTATATTCATGCAGCTTGTTTATGTTTCTAGATAACCCTCGCAGAATTTTAGAGTTTTTTTGGGATGAGAAGTTTAACTAATTTTAGTATACAGTTTACATATTACTCCAAATATATACCAATAGTTACTTATGGTCTTCTCAAAAATTTTGTACTTGCAGATTCTGAAGATTGAAGTTACAAGTCAAGATACAAGTTTAGAAGATGGAAAAGATCATTATTATTTTGCTATGGAAGTTATACAAAACATGATATCATGGTCTAGCTTGAGATGTTGATTAGCTAAGCTTTTTTGTTCAGAAAATATTGAAACTAACATCATGGGATGTTAACCAATTTTTATATTTATATCAGCCTTTTGTTTGGAGATTTTTTGTAGCAATCTTATGTTTATTGGTAAAATATTTTTTTTTATACGAAGCTTAAGAAACATTGGTGATCAATAAGAGACCAAAAATATTCCTCGTCCCTAAAGGTTAATCTAAGATGAGATAGCTACTAGTCGCAAAAACGTGATCCCTGACGAGATAGTTTCTCGTCGCTAAAGGGATTTAACAACCAGAAACTACATATTTTTTAAAGAAGAAAATCAACTATTTGGGACGAGATACATAGTCTCTAAAAAGGAGTTTTGCGACCAGCTTTTGCTTCCGTCTCTAAAAACATTTAAGGACCAGCTAAAGGAGCCCGTCGTAATTGACCTTTAGCGAAGAGACCTATTAGGACGGGTGGCGACCAGCGTTTTCCCGTCGCAATAGACTATTTGGGACCAGATTTCGACTTTCTGGGACCATATTTCCCTTCCTTAGAGGGTGTTTTTCTTGTAGTGCACCTAGAGAAAGAGGAAAATCATCCGCCGTTTAGGAATCTTGTCTTATTCATCATCTTAGAAGAACATTAGATGCAGCGGTGGAGAATAAGAGGTTTCCTTTTCAAAATCCTTACCAGATAAAGAGAATATATAGATGGACTGATATGGTTCAATCTTTTCCTATTTCCTTTTTTGTTGTTTATGCTTTCTTTCTATTTTGGGCCCATCTTGGGCCTAGACTTGTTTTGTTATTTTTTTTATTATTAATGAAATTGAGCCTGACGATCCAATCCACTAGATTGTGTGGACACCTACTCCAATACCAAGGTAGGAGAACCTTGACCCCCAGTTTCAATCATGCATAGAGGAAATGAATTATAATTAAACTAAACACCCTATTTAAATACAAAAATACCCCAAATTTGTCACACAAGGTATTTTTGTAAAGAAATATATTGAACCATCTGAAGAAACTATTCTAAACAAATACAAGAGCTTCTAAGAGATTACAAGGTTCAGAATAATAATAAGACACAACTCCCACCATAAGAAAAGAGAGGTAGAAGCTGTCAGAGATCATCTCCGGCTGCATCTAAGAACGTCATTGATCTTGCAATTAGACTGTAACATCCCGTCTTAGAAAGAGCTATATTTAGAAAGCGCTAAATGAGAAATAACTAAATTAAAATTTTTGCTAAGTTATGCTAAGATATTAGTTTTGGGTCAACTTCAAACGATCATAAGTTTCAGTGTAAGATGAGTTAGGTGTCCCATAGGATTTCAAATAAAAGGTCTTGAAATCCGCTTTCCAACGCCATCAAGTTTTCTAATTTTCGAGCTCGTGTGAGGGAGATATTCTCATTTGAAGTTAGCATATCCAATTAAGGAAAGTTACCCAAATTAGTGAGGGGTATTTTGGTCCTTTCCTTACACAATCAGATTAAAACAAATTTAATAATATTTTTGGGGTCAAATCTGATTTAGGTCAGTTTGCATAAATCAAAATATGCTTAGGGTTTTGAGAGGAGTTCAAGAAGAGGAGAAAAGGAGAAAAGTTCAAGGTGTTCGTCAAGATTCAGAAGATTTTCGATGGGTTTTCGCCAAGGATTCGATCCTAAGTGGTATGTGAGTTCTCATAGTGTTGAGTTCGTTCACCCACACGCTAATCATGATTTACATTTCGAATTCGTCCATGAAGATTGAAGGATCTAAATGTTCTTGATTAGTGTTCTTGAAGTATTTCTTTCGTTCTTGAATTAGGATGAGTTTGATGAGTTCTTGAGATAATCGTATTGAGTTTAAGAGTTGGTTTTGATTAGATTCTTGTGTACTTGTATTGGGTAATTGAATCTAAGGAAAAATTAAAGAAATTAATCGATTAAAAGTGTTTTAGGATCAGAAAACGAGATGAAAAATTCATCGGATAGTTCTGGGGAAGGGTTGGGGCGGCGCCCAGTAGTGCGCCAGAATAGGGTCTCTAAAGTTTAGGGGTTAGCGCCCCACGCCAGCAGTGCGCCAAGGTCGCATGTGTAACACCCCGACTTTTCAAAACGTCTAAATTAACTCATATTTTTGTGGAAAGACAAGGAGGGTGAGTAATAAATTAAAAATGATGTGGTATGTCATATATTAAGTGTTCAAGGGTTGTATAAGTTTTGAAGTTAAGTAAGTGGCAAAATAAAAGTTGGCGAAAATTATCGTAAGTTCCTTTTAAAGATTTCTCTAAAATTTGGGTGAAATGTCTTGGATATTTTCTCTTAATATATAAAGAGTTAGAAGGCCTATCACCCATTAAATCGAAGGCCTACGAGTCTAGTTTGCAACGCACAAAACCCCGTATCAAACCGACATCAGAGTAAAAAGTTATGAGGGTTTTACTAGGGACTATCGGGGTAGAATCTGGGTCGGGTCAAAAATATGGTATGTCGGCTTCTTTAACGTTTTAATCAATGAAAACGTTTCATTTCAGTTCCAAACCAGAGAGAAAGCTTAAGAGAGGGTTCCTATGGAGTTCTAGCATGATGAAGATTAGGTTTTAACGATTTCTACCATTAAACATTGCCCCCGTGCCTAGCAACGTAATCCCTACACGTGGCAATCATTTTTGCCTTCTATTACCTGCGTTTGGAGCTACTTTTTGAAGATATAAATTTGTAGTTATTGGTGTTTCTTCAAGGTTTACACTTGGTTAACTAAGGTAATCATCTCGGGACTCTTTTATGGTTGTTTTTATGAATTTCTACGGACGTTTCGGTAAGTTGGGGCAATATGGCAAATCTGCCGATTTAAGATTAATTATGAACTATTTATAGGTGCGTACTAGCTGTGTATATATAGTGTTTGCGAAGCTTAGGACATAAGGAACAACTTTCGTGAAGGAACTACGGTCTTTCGAGCGTTCATTGGAAAGGTATGTTAAGGCTATTCCCTACTTACGACATGCTTCCTTAAAGCTTAGGAGCAATGTATTTGGGTTGTTATCCTTGTTACACTTGTAGCAATTATTGTTGATTGTTGGCTGCTCGAGTTGATATAATCCTCCCTTGTCGAGATTCTTATTCAGTTAGTGGCGTCCCTATGTTGGACACGACTTAGAGGCTATTTGTATAGGTTGCTTATAACTAAATTGCTCACTTTGAGTGATTAGATTGTTATTGTTGCCCTTGGGGTTATTGTGGTTAGCTGCAGGAATGTGATCTATGCCTAGAAGGGCTATGTTCTGCCTACATGGCTATATGGATGCCTAAAAGGGCTATGAGTTGCCTACATGGCTATATTGACACCTAAGAAGGCTATGTGCTTCCTACAGGGCCATGTTTTTGCCTACGAGGGCTGTGAGTTGTCTATAGGCTATGTTGATGCCTAAGAGAGTTATGTGCTGCCTACGCGGCTATATTAATGCTTTAAAAAGGGGCTATGTGACTGCCTATGGGGATAGGGGACTACCGATTGGGGTTTAATTAGGCTGAATTGGCACCTTCCGGGCTTATGGGGGCCTGGGTAGGTGGTGTTGTGTGCTGTTTGTACCTGCCGAGCTTATGGGGGCTTGGTTAGGTTGTTGTTTTTATTATTTTTG